AGGAAAAGCCGAAAAACTTAACAAAGAAAAAGCGTCCCGAATGTTTGGAATTAATTGCCCAAGCCGCTCCGCCCGATCCTCTCTGGCTTCCTTTCTGCCTTTGCCTCCAATCACAAACAGAAGAAAAAAATGTTTTAATTAATAAAATTGAATGTGTGCGAAAATTGAAAGGATTTTTCCTGGCTCTCAGTACCCATTTTGCTGCCACTGCCTTCTGGGTGTTGTTCTCGCATTCATCTTCGACGCTCACTCGCAGGCCTCTCTGCTCTCGCATCGGCCTCTCATTTCGTATGCAAATGATTTATGCCAGAAAGTGTCCTGCCACCAGCGGCAGAGGAGTGGGAGGAGGCGGAGTCGTAGTCGGAGGATTAGAGTGAGTCCCCAGCTCCCAGTCCCCGCCTGTCCGCCCCCTAAACTTTTCCTTTGGCCCTCGCAAATGAGCGGACATTCGCTCGCTGGAAAGAGCGAATTTTTCCAGAGGTCGGTCGCCTACAATTTCTCAATTGCTGAAGAGGGAGGCTTTTTAAAATATTTACTTAACATCCTATTATCCTCACGCGGACGTGGATGTGGACAAAGACAAGGACGCGGACGTGGATGAGGACGCGGACGAGGACGAGCCACGACCCCGGGGTTGTTGTATCAACATTAAAAACGATAAACTTGCCGCACAGCCACGACGACGAGACCCAGTGAAAAAGAGAGAAATGCAAAAGAGGACGAAGGACACGTCTTGTCTGTCACACCGAAATGTCACCGCGGGGTGAATTACTGGCAAACCAAGAGAGAAAAAATGCTGCAACAACAAAAATACTCGTACTATGCGGGAACGAGAGAATGACAGTCGACGGGGGGAATACCCTAACTTTTTGAAAAGGAAGAGGGAAGAGATGTATGGGATGAATGGGAATTTGTGGAAGCAATGGTACTGTATACCACCATAATAATACTTATATTACAATAAGAATACTTTAATCGGGAGAGAATGACTTTTTTCTATAGAACTATTCTGTTCTAAGTTTAAATTTTCTGTAAAATTAGGGATATCTATTAAATTTATAATTCAAATCTTTTATATTCAAAGAGGCAACAGGATAAGTCACTTATTTTCACATAAAATCGATATTTTGATCATCATAAAAATACTGAAATTTACTAAATGGTTCAGCGAATTTTTTAGGGATACTATACTGAACCCAAAAGAAGCTAAAGAAAATCAACAAGTTAGGACACAAAACGAAAGAAAAGATATTTTTTATATCTTTTAATGAAATATCTCTAAAAACATATACCATTTCGTTTAGTTGGATCGTTCAGAAGCATTCTAAATGGTTTATTTAGAAATATGACCATATGTAATTAGGATGATTCACAATCCCATAATTTTCTATCTCTTTTAGACTCTCCTTATATCTGCTGTAAATGAAATAAATTGTATTATAATTTTAAATCGAATTGATGGTACTTTTGATCCAAAATCAAATCAAATCAATTTCCAAAACTGTCTTAATGGATACTTCTCTCTTATAAAATCCCCTCTCATTTCCCTATTTCATAATAATTCTTATACTACTCCCCAAAAATTTCCTTCCAAAAATTTCTCTCCTATTTGGAAAGAGTATTCAAACTTGTGATCATAACAAAATACAAAAAAAAAGAACAGATTCCCCTAAAACAAAGGAGAGTGTATCAGTATGTGTGTGTTTTATGTGTGTGCGTGTGGGAGCAGGACAACATCAGAGCAGAGCAGGACACGCGCCCCAAAGGCAAACAAAGCGAAACACACACACAACAAACGACAAACGAGATAGATAGAGCGGGCGACCAAAGAGGGACAGAAAGAGACAGGCATAGCGAGTGTGGGGGGTGGGATGGGGTGGGGAAGTATGCCAAGCGTGTGAGTGATTTATGGGCCAACGAGTGACGAGGACGAACCAGAATTCTTCAGGATAATGCCGACATAACGAGATTGTTTTATGTACACATTTTCTCCTTGTTTGCGCCGTCGTCGTCGTCCTCGTAGTCGTCGTTTCGTTCGCAGGCAGTCGTTCCGTTTCGTGGTGTCGGATCCCGGACATCGTCCTTGTCGGCAGAGGGACCCTCTGACGAGGAGAATGACAGGGATGGGGTGGGGGGGAGGCCTGGGAGTCGAATCCTGGGGTATATGTACACATAATGACACTTTTCGCTGACTATTCCCGATGTTGGTGCGCAGCCCGCACAGTGCTTTCCATTTGTATATACCTATACTCCTATACTCCTACTCGTACGTCTACGTCTGTGTGTGCGTTATCTGTTTATATAACTTTCCTAGTACGGGTGTGTGGGTGTGGGTGTTCCTGTCTGTCTGTCGGTGTGTCTGTGTTTGTGTGTGTACTTATGCCCAGAGGACCTTCAATCAAATCCGTAATCCTTATTCAGTGCGTTAATGAGCTTCACATTAATTTGTCACCCACAAGGGCTCACCTGATATTTTGTTTATGCACACCCCCCGCCGCATTCCCCCACCCAGACAGACGAGAATGGTGGATGGTCCTTGAATGTGGCTCCTGAATTTGCTAGGATCTCGGTTTTGTCTAATTAAAGACTGATGTGTTGCCAGTTTGGGAATGACAAATATTTTGGTATTTTATGGTACGAGTATTTGAAAAAAGGAATAAAAAAAGATATAAGTGATTAAAGACAAAAAATTTAGAATTTTAAGGTACTTACAAGGAATTTTTTAAGGTTTTTTCAGCTATATCCTTTACCCTTATTTTCTGTATCATTTTTTAATCAGAAAAGATATTTTAGACGAAAGAAATGTTAGTAAAATCATTGAAAGATATCTAGTATAACTTCAAACTAAGCGAATATGCTACAGATCTATAAAAATACCTATCCGAATGTAACCTATTCAAACTCGAAACATTCCTTATCAAACAAAACCCTTCCTTACCTTTCAGTATAAGAAAATCTAACAATGATTAAAAAACGAATATTTTATGGTAGAATATTTGAATTCGTTCTGCAGATTCCTTATAGATCATTTTATATTCTTCATTATAGATCGCTATACCAATTCCTTCCCTTATGACCGAATATTAGATCTCTCTTCATTTCGCTACATCCTATCTAAACCATTTTCCTCTGAAAGAAACCTTCAAGCCCTCCAACTTAATGCCAACTATTGTACAACAAGAAGATCCTAAATTATGTCCCCTAGTAATTATGACCCGCAAAAAAATTAAGAAAAACAAAACACAAATAAACGAATTTCATTTCGTTTGTTAAGTGCACAATTTACGACGTTTTCTGGCAATTATACAAAGGAACCCGCCAAAGATGCATGATTCATTCCTTACAGAGAGAACAGAACCGCTTGCGAGGGTTCCTCTGTCTGTGTGTGTGTGTGTGTGTCCTTCTGTCTCAGGGTCCTGTGTGATATATTCTTCATAATTTCTAATTTCCGGCTAAAAATAATTCTAAACATTAAGTAGAAATTATTTGAGAAACTTTTCGGGGGCTTGTTCTGGAAATTTACAACTAAAAACAAAAGCCAGTGGAAGGGAAGGGAGTGGAGTGGAGTGTGGAGTGCACCCCCCGGACTAACGTCGATACAAACAAATTCTCATTAATGGCCAAGAGAACGGCTGAAACCCAGAGCTAAGCGGAACCCAGAGATATGGCTGGAGTTAAGGGCAAGGGAGAGAGAGTAACCCAGAAATGGTACCCAGAGCGAAGCCAAAACGAAAATTTCGAGCATGTAAATGAGTCCGGGATTCGGGCTTTCGGGCTTCGAGGTTATTGGTGGGGGGGAGGAGTTTTTGGGGTTAGAGAAGTTCCTATGCTTTCGGGGGGGTGGGTGGTGGAAAACAAAATATGATTTTGACAGAAAACAACAAAACAAAATCCATAATTCAGGATAAAACATAATTCCACACAGCAACAGGAGCGTAGGAGGGGAGGGTAAAGAGGGAGAAGAGAGAGGTATATGCCACACAGATGCACAAGAAAACGGGAAAGGAACACGAGCTTTGAAGAACGACGGTTTGAGTACTCTTTATAAGGAGTGGAGTATGATATAGGGATACGATTGGGAGGTAGTAAAGACTATATAATAATAAGATATTGCCTTAGACAGAGACCGATGATTGGATCTGGTTCTTGGTCCTAGTATCGGAGGAATAAATATTCCTAATCATGACAATAGATACAATTTTTTATTTCATTATTGGACATTCCATTTGACAGGCAACGTATTTTCTTTTTGAATTCTCGGGACCGACTTTTGCGTTTCGCCAAAGACTGCGTAGAAGAATCTATTTTTCGGACCTAAAGGAAGTAAGTTCTGTGCATCTCCAAAGACTGGGAATATTGTTGTTGAATTCTAAGGACCGACCAAGGCACTGTCGAACAGAAGACCACATATAAAACTGCCATATTCAAAGGAATCAATTGATTGAAAAACGTTATTCCATGTGATATAGGTAACTGATTATCCAAGTTCCTAATTATATATTTATTTCACCTACAATATTTCTGATTACCTTTAGAAAAGAAGGTTCTTACCATAGTTTTATCGTGTCCCATGGGAATACCGGAAATAATAGTAAACTTATGGATAAAAACTGACGGATTTTCAGAGCTTTATCAGTTCGATCAGAACGTCTATATGTGGTTCCCTTTCTAATTTCCCTTCGTTGACAAACCTCTTCTCGAAACCATAGAACTCTACAAAGAAAAAGAGTACCCAAAAAAGGAAAAGTCTGGATGGAAAAAACAACAGCATTATGAATTACGGTACAATGGCGGGCAAAGGCAAATGAGCGCAAGAGAGCAAAAAGAGATGCTAAGAAGAGAGTGGGGGAGTAAAAAAGAAAGAGAGCGCAAGGGAGAGAGGGGTGAGGGTGAGGGTGGTGTGTGTGTGTGTGAGTGAGAAGCAGTTACAGTTATTTATTAAATCCCTTTACGCATTTTCATAATAATTTCACAAAAATATTTTAAATGCGATGGCGACGATGGTGGAGGAGGTGGTGGTGGAGGGGTTGGGGGAGGGCGGTTTCTGTGTGCCCGACTGGGCGACTGGCGAGGCGATGTCTGCCTGCCATCGGGTGATTCATGTCATTGCCCGGGTGTTTGTATCATTAAACTTTTATGCAAGAAGGAGGCACAGACTCGCCGAAGCGGAGGGAGGAGCGCAAACAGGGAACGGCACTCATCATAAACAGGACAAACGAGCGTGAATTTAATCCCTTTTGGCACACAAAAAATCATATTTTTTTCGCTCGCGAGTAGAAACAACAACAACAGAAAACAAAGCCATAGCAAACACTCGAAACAAAAAGAAATGGAATTGGATAAGGAGATATGCAGATGGAGATGGAGATGGGGATAAACAATTGAATGCCACTTTGAGGTATCGGTTTTGGTGACTTTTTTGATTCCGTGCAAAGAAATATATCCATAGATTAGAATATGAAAACTGAGGGATGTGTAGATATGGAAGGGATAGCGTATTTAGGAAATGGAAACTTAAGGAATATCGAAATGTATTAATTAATTTTTTCCTGCTGTAATTTTCACCAGATTCCAATATTCACAACATATCATTGAAATAGGAATTTTCTGAAAATCAGAAATATTCTTAGCGTACACAAAATGTGTAGTAGAGTCCCTAAGAAAAATAGTATCGATAATTATAGTTTTCCAATAAAAATGTTTTAAAATTATACAATTTTCCTTCAAAGATATAAGTTATACATTATTTTAATAATAATTTTAAAGCAAATCAGAGAGAGATCTTCATTGTGTACTCCCTAAAAAGTATTTATCAATCAATTTGATCATATTTCCAAAGATCAGAGACATCTTTTGAATTTTTGATCACTGTCTGGATATTAATATTGATATCTTGTTATACCCGATACTCAAAATGAGTATTGGGGTATATTAGATTTGTGGTAAAAGTGGATGAGTGTAACGTCCAGAAGGAATCGTTTCCGACCCTATAAAGTATATATATTCTTGATCAGCATCAATAGCCGAGTCGATTGAGCCCTGTCTGTCTGTCCGTCAGTCCGTCTGTCCGTCCCCTTCAGCGCCTAGTGCTCAAAGACTATAAGAGCTAGAGCAACGATGTTTTGGATCCAGACTTCTGTGATATGTCACTGCTACAAAAATATTTCAAAACTTTGCCCCGCCCACTTCCGCCCCCACAAAGGACGAAAATCTGTGGCATCCACATTTTTAAAGATACGATAAAACAAAAAACGCAGAATCGTAGAGAATGACCATATCTTTTAGACTGCAGAATCTGAACCAGATCGTATAATTATTATAGCCAGAATCAAGAAAATAATTTCACTCTTTCTCGCTCTGTCTCTCTCTAACACACAGGTTTCATGGTCGGTTTTGCCAATTGCAAAATATGAGTTCAAGGATCTCAGAACCCATAAAAGCTAGAGCAACCAAATTTGGTATCCACACTCCTGTGATATCGGACCTTGACCGTTTTGTTTCAAAATTTCGACACCCCCCTTCCGCCCCCGCAAAGGACGAAAATCTGGGGCAACCACAAATCTCAGAGACTATTAAGGCTAGAGTAACCAAATTTGGTATCCTCACTCCTGTTAGATCTCACTATAAAACGTATATCTCAGAATTTCGCCCCACCCCCTTCCGCCCCCACAAAGGACGAAAATCTGTTGCATCCACAATATTGCAGATTCGAGAAAACTAAAAACACAGAATCATAGAGAATGACCATATCTATCAGATTGCTAAATCTGGATCAGATGTCTCTCTCGCACGCAATCTTTGTCGTGTCGTTTAATATTAGCGGCGTCTGCCGGAGGAGAGCCATACTGACTTAGTATCGGGTATAACCGTAGAGTTGCGGTGTCCGCAGCAACTCACAACGTTCCCCCTCGTTTTTTTTTAAGTTCTGATATAAATTATACCATTGCATGGAGCTATATTCACAGTTTGTTCAGTTCCAGTTCTACTTTAATACCCAAAGAAGAGTATCCATATATCCATCGAAGTATCCATCATAAGAAGATTTCCTCCATTAGCTCGATCAAAATCCTTTCCTTTGAGATCTTTTGTCAGCACTCTATCGCAGTACCGTATTGTAGGGCATTCGGAGACGAAAAGCGCAGTAGAAGGTGGAGTGAAAATGAAAATGACAGCACGAAAAATAATTCTAATCTCCTCATGAATATTCCTTTTACATTTTCATTTTGCGAAGAGCGAAGCTGCTGTCCCGAGTAGAGCAGAGCAGAGCGTAAACCATCAACAAAAAAGGACAACAAACAGAGTAGCGGAGAAAGGAGAAGCACAGAAAGAGTGAGAGAGCGAGACAGTCTAGGAGGAGGGGCAGAAGGGAGCTGTTTCGGGGCGCCGCCTGATGCGTAAGCTGAAGAAATACGATGGCGTCGCGGGTACAATGGAGGGAATACTCGTATATACACAAGCTGGCAGCCGTTTGTTATTTTATTTTATTCGAGCTCTGGAGACCCCCCAGTCCATGCATACCCCGTGACCCTGTACCCGTGTCCGTGTCCGTATCCGTGTCCGGTATTTCGCTGATGGGCAGTCGCCAGCTTCGTCGCTGTAGTCGTCGTCGTCGTCATCCTTGGGTCCTGCCTGCCATGGCCGGGGCATCGAAATTATAAACTTGGCTGCTAAAGAAGGTTAAGTGATAAATTAACGCCACTGGCCCCCCCCCCCCCTTTCCACTTTGGAACGCGAATGCTTTATGCACGAGTGGACCTTTTAGTTTATTGTTATTTTACAGAAAAAGCCGCCCCTCGGCTAAAAAGGACCTCTGCTTCAATCGAATAATTACGAAAAGTGGCCCAGAAATGGCCTCAAAAAACGGCAGTTGGGGGCCAAGAAATCAGTTTTTTGGAGTGGTACAGGGTTTAAGCGTTGATTGTTTGGGAAACTGAAGAAATGGATCAATGTTGTTCTATGATTTGATGATACATCAATGGGGATTAAAGATTTTGTTTAATGTAAAATGATTTAAGTTCAGGAGTTGCTTCTAGAATCATTTAGATTCCATCAAAAGTCTATAGAATTTATGAGGATTGCTTTTTCTAAAGATCTATAACCATTTCAAGCCTAATTTCTCATTCTTTTCATCATATTTTTATGATTATCCTATAATAAACAGGCTTTAAATAAAAAACACAACGAAAGCAAATAAAATATGAAGTAAAATTACTATACATTAACGCAAGAGTAGGTTCAAGAAAGTTGTATAGAAATTAATTGGATTCCATCCTCCATTTCTATACTCAAGATCTATGACCATTTGAACCACAATTTCCCATTATTTTGCATCATATTTTAATCGTCAGAGTCCCTTAGAATTTCCCTTAATAAAAAATTAGAGTATTGTCAAATATGAAATGTGTTTGGCGTGTTGTTGCAGTTGTTTATCTTTTGGATTGTTCTGCTGTGTCACCTTTTACTTCCTAAAGGATCCATTTCTCGATCGATTCGTGTACGAAGAGCACGCGATTCTAGAAAATTATTTTGTAAATACCAATGGCTGTAGGATTATGACAACGTCTCCTTACTGTCCGGATGTCCGGTATCATTGGTGGGAATTGAGGAATTACATCTGTCCCAGTGAGGGATTTGTGGAGAGCATCCATAATGAGAGTGGCAAGTATCTCAAGACGCGAGATGACAATAGAACGGATCTGAACTGCTCTTATTATGTGGTGGAACGAAAGACAGACTTTGAGAATCGGCTGCTGTATCACCAGGAAATAGAGATGTTGGATAGAAGGTCCTTTGAGATGGAAGTCCATGGGGATATTGTGCGTGCAGTGTGCTTCAATGGATCGGATTTCTATAATGGAGTGCACTTCTTTGTGAAGAAACCTTCAGTGAAAAGGAGACGCCGTCAAGGATTGCCCAAACTTCAGTCTGCCACCTCTCCGGATAGCCTTTCTGTGTTGATCCTGGGCCTGGATTCGGTCTCCCATCTGCACTTTCTGCGTGCCATGGTCCATACGTACGCTTTCCTGCAGAACCTGCCGCATGTGGAGTTCATGGGCTTCAGTCGCGTGGGCAGCAGCTCATTTGAGAGCATGATTCCCCTGTTAACGGGCTGGAACAGCCAGGAGATCAAGGACTTCTGCTTGGATTCCAAAAGAGGCCTCGATAGGTGTCCCTTCCTCTGGAAAATGTTCCAAAATGCCGGCTACGAAACGGCCTTCGGGGAGGATAATATAGACATGGGCCTGTTTACCCTGGATAAACCAGGTTTTGAGCATCAGCCCACGGATTATTATCTGCGTCCTGCGCTCCTGGAGATGTGGCAGCAGACCAGGAAGAAGATACGCCATGGGGCATACTGCAATGAGGAGGATACGTATGCCACGGTCCTGCTGAACTTTCTCTACAAACAGTTGCCCCTTCATGAGAGACACCGCTTCTTCTCGTTTCTCTGGTGGACTCAAGGGATACACGCCGTCTTCCAATATGGCAGGGTACTGGACAAACCCTTTCTCGAGATGTTTCAAAAGTTAATGGCGAGGGGAATCCTTAATAATACACTTATTTTGTTTGTGTCCAACTATGGCTTGAAGGATGGAGACTCCAATACCTTCTCAGCGACCAATCAGGCTCAAATGGAGGTTAGTCAGCCTCTGGCCATCATTTCCTACCCCGAATGGCTAGAAGAGCGGTATCCTTTGGCTGTAAAGAATCTGAAAATGAATAGCAGGCGACTGGTAACCGCCTACGATCTTCATGCCACCCTTTTGGACATGCCCCACCTGGCAGCCCTGGAGGATCAAGAGATTCGCCTGCGCAGCCAGCAGTTGGAGAGCCCTTTGTTGAAAGAGGATCTCCCAAGAGGGATAAGTCTGTTCCTGCCAATACCCGAACAGCGAGACTGTTCGATGGCCCACATACCCGCAGAGTACTGCATGTGCCACAAGCCCTCGAGTATCCCTTTCAAGGATATCAATGTTGTACGCGCTGCCCGTTTTATCATCCTGCAGATCAACAAACTGGTGGCATCCAATCATCCGCCGTGTCAGCTGTTGTCTTTGGATCGCGTGCTTGCCGCAGAGCTGTGGCATCGATCGCTGGATCAACATCAGTCCGAGATCAGGCTTCAAGTGCAAACGCTGCCTGGTTTGGGACAATTCGAGGGTGTGGTACGGTTTACGGACTATACTTTTGCCTTGAATGGACCCATAAGACGATTGAACGAGGATGCGAATGAAAGTTCCTATTGTATACAGAATATTTTGATAGAAAAATATTGCTTTTGTCGGTGATTGATATAAGAACATTGATTCCTTAATTCTGTATGATTTTTAGAGGGTTTTTCAAGGTTTCTGGATATTTTTCATAGCTAAAGAGTGGAGAATACTTCTCCAATTTTCATGCTTATTTCTTGTCATTCAAATCTCGCATATCTTTGGGTTTTCCAAATATAGATATCTTCCAGCTATAACTTCCCTGGATTCTTGATCGACTTTCCCCTAAATTAACAATAACTCAAACGCACATATCCGTTTGCTTAGTCATGTATCTGTGATGTAGTCTTTGAGGAGCTTAATTATCCGTATATCCATTAGACATACCCGTCCCCCTTCTATGACATCATTAGCCATGGGACGAAGCTGCCAATAGATTTAAAGGACACTTCTACACACAGATATACATGTGTATGTGTATATATTCGCATGCATATCTAAGGAGGATACACATCATATGTTCTGTTCTCCTTTGGAGGAACGACGGAGTCTAATCTGATGATTTATAGAAAATTTAGGTCGCCATATAGTCGTCGCATTAATTACGCCTCATAATGAGTGATTTATGCGAGAGCGAGAGAGAGAGGGAGAGACGCTCGCTCGGCGCTCCTGCCAGGGTTGCCAGGCTACGGGCTAGAGCCTGCATTATGGGTACTCCTCGCCCTGCTGCTGCTCCACACATCCTCCCACATCCTGCTGCCACGATAAGAAATGTTGCTGTTTGCCAAAACGGCCAACGCCCTGCGGCAGGGCGGCGGGCGGCAGCCGAGCGTCCAAAGGGAATCACATTAGCACAAAATGCCCCGTAATTATGCTTTTTATGATGGCAGACAGGGCCTCCTCCGCTAACCTCTCCCCGCTCCTGATAATGTGTCCTTATCAGCCCATCAGGGCGTGCTCTGTGTGCGCGTGTGTTTGTGTTTGTGCTGACTCCATAAATGTGTTAAAATTTCATGTCCTTTTAATTCCATTTTTATGAGTGCAGGCAGCGTCTGCACGTCAATCACACAAATATTTATAGTTTCTTTATAATGCCCCTTTTTGCTGACTGATTTATGGACTGCGTCCTGGCCATGTGGTCCTGCATTTGACGTTTGATTTATGCCCCCCTGATTGACAACTGCTCGCCAGAAGAATGAGGAGAGCATATTGCACAGAGGGTACGGGAGTTCTTTGTAAAATGTGGTTTACGAACCAGATGGGTGGCAGTTTTTATCGAGGTGCTCTTTGGAGTTTACGACGTTTGTTTTGATTGTCACTTTTTTGTGATTTTGGTTTATAGATGAAAGGAGTTAAAAATTGTGTGGGATAGGTCAGGAGTTCGTTGGAAAACAGTTTAAAAACTGTTTGTGGTTTCAACAAGAATTGTACGATAGTTCTCTTGTATCCTTGTATTTGAAGACTTGAAGCATTCTTGAATCCTTTTACTTGTACTATTAAAAATGTATATATGAACGTATCAGTTCTGATAATTCAATATTAAACAATATATCCTTAAATTTTTCGAGTAGCAGCTACGAAAATCCAGAGATAAAGATAAAGAATTCTCTGTGCTAAAGTTCTATGTTGGAAAATGTCTCAATTTTAAGCCAGAATTATACAGAAATTAAACATAACCATTTGAGATAACGATTTGGAAAGCTTCTAAGTTAAATATTATCATGGTCATGGAAAATAAGGCAAGGAATCAGGGAAGGTACGGATCAAGGTGTACTTCCGCATGATGCTCGACATTTTCAACCAAAAAGGTCGTTAACATGCGGCTAAAGATTTTCGGCTTTATGAGTAATGCTTTTAGAAATTCTAGAGGTTTTCGAACATTAAATCGATTTCTAAAATGCTTAAAAATATGCTTAGCCCTAGAAAAAAATTTTCTAATTTAGGTATAAATACCTCTGATACAGAAAATGTGGACAAAAAGTGTAGAAATATAGGTATCCTATTAAAAAATAAATATTAAACTATCCTATTAAATAAATAAAAAATAAAAGTATTTAATCTGTTCCGTAACTTATTGATGTTTCAAGTATGTTCCTTAATATGTTGATCCTCAAAATCCCCAAAAACGCTTTATAGATTATAAACAAGTATTATATCCCCAATTATAACCACATCCAAAAATTAGATAAACCTCTCTCTGCCCTCATAGGCACTTCACATTCTACTCTCAATGGTAATGTCCCTAAATCATTTTAATAAGCTTCTTCCATTGGCTGGGTGATGGCTGGCAGCAGCTCGTAAAAGCGGAAACGATTCCCTATCCATCGTTAGAGTCTGTCGTCGTAAATTCGGTAAACGCGCTTAAGTGATTTTCACACTAAAAACCAGCGGGTGGGTCACTTTGACTATTTCAAATGGTACTCTCTTTCTCTCTCTCTCTATGTGGCTCTCCGGGCCACACATAAAATTAAATTTTATGTACATATAACGCGTACGCGAATGCGAACGTCTGCGGAGAACACAGTTCAACAATTAAATAACAATAAAAGTCCGCTTTTGATGAGGTTGTGGTCGTTGGTCGTCTGTGGGGGGCTTAATGGCCATCATCTTCTCATCAGCGGAGAATTTTTTGACAGCTGACAAGCGGCGGACGGGCGGGTTCAAACGTCAAAGGCGACAAATCTGTCACGCCCCAGAGCTATCCACCTGGAAATGGAAAAACCCAGAGAAGCGGCTATACTTCTCTCCCCGTCTGTTGTGTTTACTCTTGTTTACTGTCAAATAATGGCAGAAGTCGTAAAATCTTTAATTTTATGAGCTGGATCGTAAAATCTAAGACAAGGCCAAAACACAGAGAGAGAGAAACAGGAGAGGACCTCAACGGACAAACCGGCTGTCTTTCTGTCTGTCTATCTCTCTGTTTATTTAATTATAAATTTTCTTTTGGTATTGCCGCAAAAAAAACTTGAAATGTGTGTTTTTTCCTCTTTGGGTGTGAAGGAACATCTGTCCCCTGCTTTTCAGATGGTATACGAGTATCCCTCGCCCACTTGATGATGTGCTGTGATGGTTACAAAATACTAATCAAAATTTATGGCATTCAACCAATTGAAAGAGCATCTTCTGAAACAAAAACCAAAGCCAGCAGAGAAGGTGCTCAACAAATTGGAAAATTTATGATCGGTTCGGCAGAGGGAGAGAGAGGAAGTGTCGTTGAAACGGAAGCGCCTCAAAACCATTTTCCAGTGTCCACCAAAGTCGAAGAGTCACGCGGCAGAGTCGAAGAAACATTAATGGGATGCACTTAACAGGGATTTATCACCGCCGACCGCCGACCGCCCACACACCACCATCCCATGGTTATGGGATACACATAAAGATCACAAGATCACACCAGGGAGGAGCAGGATCCATACGTTTGTGGTCAGCTTTTGAGTGGGATTTATAGATGTGATATGCTTTGGGTTGGGTTGGGTTGGGTTTTGGGCGATCATGTGTCTTAAGCGATGTATTGATGGGTTTTTATGCCCGGTTTATGATGTGTGATTGGTTGGTGAGTGTATATAGAGTGCCTAAGGAATTAATATGAAATTATTCAGGAAATATAGCCTAAGGAACATTGATTGGGTGGGTTCGGGGCTCTTTAGAAAGAGTTTCATGATGATTGTGAAGAAAATTTATACGAAATTATATAGGAAATACGTCTTTTAGTTTGTAGATCTACAAAAGCGTGGATCTTTTGGTTTACTTGTTGGTGGAAGAGTCTTTCGGAAGAGAAATATGAATAAAGAAATTATACAAGAACTAGATCTATAACTTTGTAGATCTACTGGAAACATAAACATAGATCTTTGGTGTTGAATTGGGTGAATATTCTATCGCAGAAAGATCTTTCAAGAATTTCTAAAAATTCCTAACCAATTTTATGGGAAAACATATTTATAACTTTGGCAACATCGATTGGCTTAGTAAGTGAGTTTTATTGGAAGAGTTTTATGCTGATTTTGAATGAAATTTATACGAAGTTATGAATGAAGTACTTCTATACCTTTGTAAATCTATCGGTTGATTAAGCTTAATCTATAGAAATAGTTCGCTGATGATCTTCAAAATAATTTATTTAAGATTATGGAAAAAACCAAGAAATCTTTGTAGGACTTTAAGAACTTGAGAGTAAACATAAACCAAGTGATCTCTAAATGAATATATGGAATTTATGATATTAGATTGCTTGAGGAGTCTATAAAACTAGTAAAAACGATAGTTTCCTCACAATTCCTGCAATATTTCATAGATCACATGGGTCGTTTGTTAAACTTCTCTAAAAGCCATTCAACATTCAAACACCATTCCTTTTAACCACAAAACTTGTTTCTCCGTAATTAAATAATATTTGATTCAAACTACGCGTACTCTTAAGGAGAGCCATCCATGAAACCATCCCCAAACCACAACCTACTCAAAATCTAAGATATTTCTTTTGCATTTCCTGCCTGTCTACTAAATAGCATCTAGCAGACGAGAAGAGCCCCAGCCGAAGAACGGAGATTTAGCCAGTCTTTGAGATTAACTAAAAGAATAACAACAAATTCCATATCATATTTACGAGCGAGAGGAGGACTGGGGGATCTCTCGGCGAAGGCAATCAGAATACTAAATCTGATGTACGCCGCTAATTGCGCATAGATTACCAGATGCATGAGCGATATTAAGAGAGAGGACGAGGCCGATCCTCTTCTGGTTATCCTCTGGGTGGAGATGCGTGTGCCCCGTTTTGCCGTTTGGCCAGGAAACTCAGGCGACAGCGCAATGAGAAATTGCGACAGAGACAACTCTATTTGGCCAATCGACGAGGACGACGACGAGGCTGAGGCTGAAGAGAGGATCGGATCGGATCGGATCGACTGGCCGGCGTTGCCTTATTTATTTCGAATTGACCCATTTGGTAATATTCATAATTTAAGGTGCGCACACGAAAGCCGCCGCAACATCAGCCTCCTCTCTTCGTTGTTGCTGCAAAAAGCTGCATAAATTCTCGCATTCGTTTTCTTCATTGCCATTTGAGTTTATTTGCGATG